AATTTGAGCAATCTCATGAACATGCGCTGTAATCTTGGCGTAACACTATCAATATCACGCAAATCCAATGTTTCAAGTGGTTTGTGATCACTTTCCACAATGAACCTATGTCCATGAATGAGATTTTTGAAACGTTCACAAGCAAATACCACGGCCAAAAGCTCTTTTTCAATTTGTGCCCATCTCTGTTCAGATTTACTAAGAGTTCTGGATGCAAAAGCAACTGGATGTTCTTCTTGAACCAAACCCGAACCCAATCCATCTTTTGATGCGTCCGTTTGAATGACGATAGGTTTTTCTGGGTCGAATGGCTTTAGAACTGGATCCGATGTGATAATCTTCTTTAAATGATCAAATTCAGCTTCATGTTTCTCATTCCATTCAAATGGAATGTTTTTTCCCGATAATAAACGCAATTCCGCTGTAAATTTGGAAAGATTTGGGATAAATTTTGCCAACCACTTGAATAAACCCATTAAACGCGATACACCGTGTTTATCGGTTGGACTTTTCATTTTTAATATTGCCTCAATATGCTTCTTTGATGGTCTAATTTTACCATCCGAAAGAATATGACCCATGAATTTTACTTCCGATTTGCGATATTGAATTTTAGCCGAGTTAAACTTGACGTTGTTCAAGCGTGCACGCCCAAGAACAATTGCTAGTATTTTATCATGTTCCTCTTCATCAGACGCCACTATTCCAATATCGTCAAAGTACACAAATACACCAGGTATGTCACCAAATATCTGTACCATGCGCCTTTGGAAAATTTCCGGTGAAATATTTAAGCCCTGTGCAAGTCTATTAAATTTGTATCGACCAAAAGGTGTCATAAATGTTGTCAATTCCGAACTTTTCTCATCAACTTCCAATTGCCAAAACCCATTTGAGCAATCTAATACCGTGAATATTTTTTTGTTAATCAAATCGGTTATCAAATCATCAAGAGTTGGAATTAAATAATGCTCTCGCTTTAGGCACTTATTGAGTGGTTTGGGATCCAAACAAATGCGTAAATCACCGTTTGATTTTTCAATAACTTGCAAGTTATTTACCCAATCCGTTGGGTGAAACACCGGTGAAATGATTCCACATTCAACCATTTCATCAAGTTTTGGTTTTAACTTTTTAACTATAACGTCCGGAAAACGTTTTCTGTAGTGCACAACCGGTGTTGCATCATCCCTTAAATGTATTGTTACTTTTCCGGGAATTTTTCCAAGTCCGGTGAAAACATCATTATTTTCGCTTACAAAACTTTCTTCTGCGTTTGAACACTTGATCGAATCAATATTCACCGCCTCAATCAATCCAAATTCAATGCATGTTTCAAGTCCAAGTATCGGTTCAAATGTGTCGTCAACAACAATGAATTCAGTAATTCGTTCAATATTTAATTTAAAATCCCACATTTTAATTTCAGCTATACCATAGATTTTAATTTTATTGTTACTATAATCGAATACAGGAAAGTCATTCTGTTCATGTTTGATTTTGATTTTCATTTTCTTGATGATTCTCAAAGGAATACAATTGACATCCGCTCCTGTATCGACTTTGAATTTAACTAGTTTATTCCCTATTCGGTATGCCTTAGTCCATCGTTTTCTCTTCGATCCAAATGAATTTAATCTAAAAACATAATTTTTACGACTAAGAATTTCTTCCAATTTTCGAAGCTTTATCGCTGAATTACCTTCTGAAGATTCATCATTCCATCGCACATTGTCAATTCGTGACTTTTCCTTCGGTTTCGACTGCGATGCACCCGCTTCTGATGTTTGTTTCTTTCCATTCTTTCGACACATTTGACGAAAATGTCCTTTTTTTCCGCATGGGCACGTGTAATTCCTGGCCGGACATTTGCTCTTATGTTCACGATTCCATTCGCCACCACAGTTGAAACAGCTACGCTTCTTGTCAACGTTAATTGCGTTCACTTGATCGGTGTCCATGTTTTCCGACAATGCAATTGCTGCAACTGATTGTTTCGATTGCAGAATACCCTTGTTGACATTTGCGGCTTCGAATGTTTTACAAGTATCGATCACCCGGTCAACTGCTTCTTCACGCCCGTCGAGCAGCTTTAACTGAAGTTTTTTATCGTAAACCCCAGTAATTATGCGATCACGTAACATGCGATTTTTGTACGACAGTCCACAATCGCAATCGTAGTCACATCGATCGATTTGAGCACGAATTTCCGTCAAAAATTCATTAAACGGTTGCCGCTCCTTTTGAATCATATTATTGAATTTGTATGATTCCATTGTCACATTCTTCTGTGGCAGGCAATGTGCATCAAATGCCTTCAAAACATCATCCAATGTTCGCTGCGTGACATCTTGCCTTGTTACTGCCGCTGTCGTCGACGTTGCCGCTGTTACAATCACAGTTGTTTTAACCGTACCAAGCAATGCGTCTTGCGATCCATCATTTGGGAACAATGTGTTGTAAATGTTGGCACCCTTTGTTCCAACCAACCATAGAAAAATTGCGATTTTCGTTGTTTCCGTTTGGCTGTTCTTATCCTTTGCAATCATATACACAAGAAAATCACGCTTCCAATTCTTTCAATCCGATGATAAATCAGAGCAATCCAGCTCACGCAGATCCTTTCTTGTGTCAGTCATTTCGCTAAATTTCCGGAAATATGACTTTAATCCATGAAATAATACCCAAAACGAAATCTACACACTTGAAGTTTGCCCGATGATTACTATTTGTTATCCGATGATTTAATTTAATTAATGATTTTAGCCGATGAAAATTTCGTTTCGTGTTAAAGCTGAACGTATTGCCATACACACGTGTTTGCAAAATGCAATGTCGTACTGACCAATGAAATTGTGCAATATCGTGTTTAGTGGTGAAATGATTCAAATCGACTTTTCAACTCAATTATTTCGTAAAATCCGTCCTGTTTATATTAAATTTATTTTCTTTTACTTCTGACACCATGTAATAGTCTAATTAAATAATCAAAACGCAATGATTTTATTATACTAATATTTAGGTTTTAATGAATCAATATTATGTTGTGTGTACATGGCTATGGTTGATGCTCAACTAC